TTTTTTTTTTTACATTTTTTTTTTCTCCACACACTACTCTTAGGGATTCCACCTGGCTTTTATTTTATTGGCACAGCCAGTATTTGAGGCTGCCTGGCTGGTGCCAATATTGCAGTGATATTGGCAATACAAATGCTGGTATTTTTCTCAGTATAAACAAGAGATTACTATGCAATACCAACACTGGCCAGTAGGGGTCACTGTGTGTGGAGACAGGCAGGGATAGGAAGTTCCAGCATATCCCTCCCTGCCTATCTATACTCACTGATCTGCAGGGGTGCAGCTACAGAGAGTCCAGACAGCAACTCCCACCCTGCAGAGACAGCCTACAGCTCAGGGAAGTAATGGATGGGGGGAAAGGCTGCAAGGAGACATGGGGACACTGAGACACTAAGGGACATTGGGAGACATTATGACACAGACACATGGGGACACAGTGTCCCCATGTCTCCCAGCCAGTGTCCCTGGTGTCTCGGTGCCCCCTAGTCTCCCAGTGCCCCCTAGTCTCCCAGTGACCCCAGTCTGCCAGTGTCTCACTGTCCCTATGTCTCCTAGTGCCTCCATGTCTCTCAGTGCCTCAAGTGTCACAATGTCCCCATGTCCCCCAGCCTGTGTCTCTAGTGTCTGTGTCCCTGGTGCCTGTGTCCCCATGTCTTCAAGTGTCCCCTATTTTCCCATTGTCCCAATGTGTCCCAGCCAGAGTCCCCTAGTCTCCCAGTGTCACTGGTGTCTACGTGTCCCAAGGTCTCCCCATGTCCCCAGGTCTCCCCATCTTCCTAGTGACATGGGGACAAAGGGAGACATGGGGCATTGAGACACTGTGATACATAGGATCATAGGATCACTGGGAGACCTGGGGACACGACACTAGGAGACACTGGGAGACATGGGGCACTGAGACACTGATACATAGGAACACTGAGACCTGGAGTAATCGACACTTGGGGGCACTGAGTCATGAGGGCACTGGGAGACATGGGGGCACTGGGAGGAATCCATCTATACTGCAGAATCAAACTAAGTAGTTTTTTGGTGATTTTACAGAATTTTCTCTTATGTCACTCCTTGTGATTTACATGTGATGTCATCCATACATATTTAATTATGCAAATTAGTAAGGCCGGTATGTTTTTCCAAGAAAGGTGGTAACCCTAACTACTTTTCACATACTCTTACTTAAGTATGGAAACTTAAGAGTGAAGTATGGGAACAAAACTTGTGTGGACTGGCTGACAATGAATATAGTTAAAGGGACACTTTAGTCACCAGAACAACTACAGCTTATTGAATTTGTTCTGGTGAGTAGAATCATTTCCGTCAGGCTTTTTGCTATAAACACTGTCTTTTCAGAGAAAATGCAGTGTTTACATTACAGCCTAGTGATAACTTCACTGGCCACTCCTCAGATGGCTGTTAGAGATCCTTCCTGGGTCATGGCTGCCTAAAATGCATCCAAACATTCAGTGTCTCCTCCCTCTGCATGCAGACACTGAACTTTCCTCATAGAGATTCATTAATTCAATTCATCTCTATAAGGAGATGCTGATTGGCCAGGGCTGTGTTTGAATCATGCTGGCTCTGACCCTGATCTGCCTCTTTGTCAGTCTCAGCCAATCCTATGGGGAAGCACTGTGATTGGATCAGGCCACCACTTCTAATGATGTCAGCAGACTGCTTGTTTTTATGAGTCTAACAGCATTCAGAGTTACAGCTTCAGGCTTGAATATAGTAAGATTATGGAGGCATGAGGGGCCCAGGGGGGCTAGATGGTGGTGTTAACACTATAGGGTCATGAATTCATGTTTGTGTTCCTGACCCTATAGTGATCCTTTAAGGTAATGCTGACTTTGGTCTCTCTAACACTGTGGCATGTTCCCTTTCTTCTACACTCACTACATACAGCTTTTCTCTGTCCCAGACTATATACCAGGAGCTTCTGCCTGCTAGTAAGAAGGTAAGGAGACAAGTGGACCAGCGAGTACAAGGGAACAGTCCTTAGAAAGCGTTGAGCAAGCGCATCATTAGATGCATTTATGCCAAGCTCAGGGTGCTGTCTGCATAGTATGCCCTTAGTTGGCCAGCTGCATGATTGGCAGGCAGCTGGCCTTCTAATTCTTTGGGCAGACATGTCCTCTTTTTGGGCATGTTCGCCCCTTTTGGCAGGTTACGTAATTTGTGTCAGTGGCACACCCTTTTACCATGCCCATTGACTTCCTGCTGGACTGGACACTGCTGTTGGGGGTTATGGAAAGATGAAAACATAAATTAGAGAGAGATTAGCCTAGGGTATGTGTTTTCTTATAGCTGCTGTTTTACTGTTTTTGGTCGATATGATTCTGTAATTAGGCCCGTCCTAATTGTCAGCACCAGGCCCACTGGGCTCTTAATCTGGCCCTGCCTATCCAGGAGTATTTTGTAGCATTAGCTAACCAGTGTATAATAGTGTAGGTTCACTTTCTGCTCTGCTGGTTTGCATAACTTACCCAATATTGGGTAAGTTCTTCTGAAGAAATATTAGAGCTTACAGGTGTATCTAGTATGCGGCAGCCAAAGGGCGTTGTAGATTCTAACGTTAACAAATCAAATGATTCATTTGGTAACTTAATATAGGTCATTGACTCAGTTTCATTGTGGCTAAAATAGCCTTCTCCATAGAGGTTCGCTCTCATGTTTGGACAGTTAACAGTCAGGCAGGTTACTCCTGTTTCGATCTCTTTCCATCTCATCTCTGCGGAATCACTCTAGTCCCAACCTCCAATCTCGTTGTTGGTATCTGAGCCAACCAAAGGGTGTAGAGTAAGCACAGCCATCACAATAACAGCCGGACCAATGAGCTTTGCCTGTAAAAATACAACTCATTTTACTCTCTCAAATAACATTTGCCCGAAGGCACATATTCCCATTTATGATGACCTGACTTGGAAAGTATCACAGTATTGTCATTGCCTGTTGCAATAATGTCTGCGGGTTCTGGGGGACCTTTCTCTGTCCTCACCCAGACTTTGGCCCCTGGATTTAGGTTAGTAGAGCCAAATCCCTTATCTCCTCTTACTGTTTGTAAGGTGGGGGCTGTTCCTTTGTGTACCTATCCCTGGTAAATGGGGATGATAACCAATTGGGCTATTCTGTCCCCTTCTTGCACTAGCAAGTCTTGTGGTCCCTGGTTTAACAAAAGGACCTTTATTTCTCCTTGGTAATCAGCATCTATGACCCCTCCCATTACATGTATCCCTTTATGGGCGAGGCTAGATCTGGGTGCATTTAGTCCAAAGTGTCCTGGGGGTATCTGTATTCCTATACCTGTGGGGAACATCTGAACCTGCCCTGTTTTATGTCTTTCTTCCTTTCTGGCTCGCAAGGCTCCCTCCTCTGTTTTCCAATATGTGATGGTGTTAGTTGCTACATTAGCTTGTATATTGGGTGCAATCATTCTAGTGAGGGGGGTGTCATGATCTGAGAGTGGCCTATTGTTTAATATGGTCACAGCTGTAGACTAGTTATCTCTCCATTTGACCATTGTCCCTTCACCAAGTTTTCTCAATTGTTGCTTCAACAACCCATTCATCCTTTCAATCAGACCAGCTGCTTGAGGATAATAAGGTATGTGAAATTTCAACATTGTTTTCATTGCAAAACAAATACCCTGAATATGTATCCACAGCCGTGCATACATATTGACAATTTTTACTCATAGGAAGCGGGCCTATGTAATCCACCTGCCATATTTGCCCTGGTGCTTTTCCTTTTTTTATTTGACCTCGTACCATATCTGGTACATGTCTATTCTGCTCATGCTGACACACTGGACATTGCAGAATTACTGTTTTAATTAAATAAAGTGGCACTAAAATGCCTCGCTGTTGTGCCCACCTGTGGGTGGCTTTTTCTCCCAAGTGTCCACATTTCTGATGGGCCCAAGTAGCCAATCCCAAAAGTGAGTTAGAATTTTCAACAGACGCCTCTGAGATCTTGGCTTTCTCGTCTGCAGCAGAGTTAAACAGATGATCCAATGAGTCAGTATTGCAGTGAGCATCAACATGAAAGACTGTTACCTCATTTTGATGTACCATCTCCCATATCTTCTCCCACAAATCTTTTCTCCAGACTTCTGTAACGGATCGCCTGGCACCCCGACTGGGTACCTCCGTTGAATGATGCTCCTAGCGCTTCCTGAGGACTCCAAGCACTCTGGCAGACACCACAATAACCGAACCGGAGAAACAAATAAATTCTCCCAAGCATATGAATGCAGTAGACAGTTGAATAGGAACCATACGAATAGGTTTACTCTCCTAGCAGTCAAACTGGAACAGCATACAATGAATCCTTCCCCCAATAATGAGACGACACTTCACTTTGAGGGTTAAAACAGGAACTCCCTGTACTGTCACATACAGTCTCTTTTATTCCCAATCCACAAACATAGTACAGCCCACAGGGCGTTACAAAACAACCAATCAATCCGTACAATACACCCAGACACTCCCACACAAAATCCTCCCCTCTGTCTGTGATATGATTACTGAACACAATGGGTAATCTCATTATCACCGGCAGAGGAATACAGTTTTTACACAATATTTATAACTTCTAAAATATACATGTCACAAACATAAAACATACATTTTCATAATCAATCCATTCAGGGGAACAACATATTAAAAAATGGCACGAATCAGACCAGGGGTTCAAAAGTTAAGGGAAAGTCCTTTGTGACTAAATGAAGCATGGCTTTCTGGCCCAAACCAGTTTCAGAGTCTTCTATCCTGGAGATTGAATTGAGAAGTAATTCAATTATCTCCCAGGACAGACACAAGACTCCATTAGCCACATGGCAGACAAAGGACAACAAAAGACATAAAAATACATACTGTTATACATACATTTATACATAAAACACAGACATGTCACATATCCCCAGATAGCTGGGATCTGAGCGCACAAAACTACCGAATAGCGCTTAGATCCTATTCACACAGTTTAATTGCCATGGAGCCGAATCTTTAACTACACGAATGGGCTCCATGGCATAGCTATCTGGGTTAACACATTCACATAAAGTCTGGTCCATAGTCCAAAGGCAAGAGGCGGGCAAGCAGCCCCCTCCAAGGATACGTGGCGAGGCCGGTTTCGCCACAACTTCCTTTGTATGAATCATGAACCGATGTGACTGTCATGTTGGCAACCACGTGGCCAGTCCATTGGCAACAGACCAGGAATCTGTGTATATATGACAACTTCCAGGCATCTCTTGTTTCAAAGCCTGAAACACTGCATATAACTCTGCATACTGGCTACTTTTTCTCGTTTCTATCGTAGTCAGTATTTTCTTGGTTTCTGGATTGTAAGACACTGCTTTCCATTGTCTTTCATAACAAATGTATTTTGCTGAACCATCAGTAAACCAAGCATGCTTTGCTTGATCTTGTGTTAGTTGCGCAAAAGACTTTCCCCACTTGTCTGCGTCTGGCAGATAACCAGGTTCTTGTATCGGCGCATCTGCAATTTTCTCATGTAGTACAGCTGTACCACTCTTTCCTGTTTTAGTGCTTGGGATCGTTTTTCGGGTATATTAAGGCCTTTAGCGTTTATGGATAGGAGGGTGCCATTCGGTAGGTCTGGGTAGTCGCCATTTCGCCACTTTGGTGATGGGATACTACTGGATTTTACTGCTGATTGTGCTTGTTATGCTGCTGGATTATTCTCTCACTGTGGGTACTGTGCCTGGGATTATTGCTTGTTCCTGAGCCACACCTGGACTACCAGGGGAAATAGTCTGTGAGAGACCAGCGTTTCCGTTACATTGGTGGCTGCGGTGGGTTCGCGTCCTGGTGTAAGAGGAACAGCACCCTGGAGACACCGGAATTATTATGGAGCGAGTCCCTGGACAACGTTCGAGGTGGAGGATGAGTTTAACCGGAGGTTACAGAGCATCTTGGCCCCACTGGATAAGCCTATAGCAGTTGGCATGCAGAAGGGATGCCAGACAGGAGATGTGGGAAGAAACCCTAGAGAGTGTCCAGCATTGGCGGGATGAGCGTCTCCCCAGCAAGGAGCAGCGACTACAAGCCTGAGTGGCCCTACGAATGCCTATGCTGGGAGACCAGCCCAGGGAGGAGTTGGTGATCCAGCTTTATTCACTGGCATGGAGGGAACTAAGTCTCGATGATGCATACAAAGCGCTATGTTGGTACGCGGTTCAGTGTGTTTCTGGACTGGCCAAATTTGACAACTCGGAGGGCAAGGATTACAATGGCCCTGGTTTATTGTGGGGGGCCTTTGCAGAACCAGACCTTGGGAGTGCGGCCGAGTCATGACTTTGGGACATATTTGCCTACAGAGAGGCCATGCTGGACCTCCCTATGGATGAAGACCTAAGGCCAGACCTGATTGAATTGGCTGTCCAGGAATGGGAACTGGAGCAGGACTACCAGCACCTGATCAGCTCCAGTCAGTCACCCTATACCCTACAGGTACCACCAGAGCAGTTGGAGTTCGAACAGGATTATGCCCTTTTATTTGATGCAGTGTTTCTAACCTGATGGGGCTTATGGACTGTACACCATTGGGAGCATTGAGTTTCATCACTCCTCACCAACAACTAAGCCCGTCATCAGGAGACCTGGGGTCTGTACCACCTACCCCCCAACCAGACCCAGAGGTGGGAGACCTTATTGACTGGTCCTGGGATGACCCACAGCTGACAGGTGGAGGGAAAACCGAGATCTCTCCACCGGCCCTACAAAGATGCTGGGCAGCCGGCCCAGATCGCCAACCACAGATGGATATGTTAGGAGTGGGGATCCTTGGTCAGTCCCTCTCCACAGCGTGCAACCCAGCAAAGATGTTCCCTTCCCAAATATAAAAGCAGCTACCGAACACTCCAAACAGCCGAACAGAAAAACACATGAATAATCCCCCAAGTACGAGACGAGGCTCTGTATTGAGGGTCAAGCAGGAATCTGTTTAATCTGGGCTACCTGCCTGCCTTTTATGCAGGTCTCCCACCAGGTGGACACTCCCATAGGGGACCTGGTGGAAAACTATGACAAAATGTTACATTGACCAATCACAGTAGTACAGGGATAAACTCTCCAATTTACACAGTATAGGAACCTCCTCTCTTTCCTGGTGATAATTGGGAAGTAACTCAATTATCTCTGAGGATAGAGAATAAACTCCATTTTACAAGGCATAATAAAAATATATAATTCTAAAACTCCCAGACAGAATCCCCACATTCAACATATACCCAGATAGCTTGGAACTGAGCGCACAATATTACCGAATAGCGCTCAGATCCTATACACACAGTTCAATCGCCATGGAGCCAAAGTCTTTCACATAGTCTTTCGCTATACGAATGGGCTCCATGGGATAGCTATCTAGGGTGGCTCTGTTTGCATTGAAATTTACCGAACGGTACGGTGTTCGTATGAATGGATGAACAGATGAAGGAAGGTCGGCAGCTTCAGGGTGTTCATCTGAAAATAGTGTCCGTTTTTAGTTCCAAAGATTCGTCAATGAACACCGCTGGGCATTCGCATGTCCAAGATGGCCACCACCACGTGTTCGTTCATACAAACGACGACCACCCAGCCGACCATTCGACAATAGGAAGTGTCTGCAGTTAACCACAACGTTCTAATGAGGCCAAGAGGTTAACAAGCAGCACACTTCCCTGCTGGGTGGCTGGCCGTTCGGTAGTTCTTTCGACAAAAGGGGAATAAATCGATGATGACCGTATGGACAGGGCAATAACCGAACAAACAGACAAACCAGAGGTCTGTCACATGGCTCCCTCTTTGTGGGACACTCCGGAAGACCCGGCTTGATCCTTCTCGGGTCAACGTGGGGATGTCCGGAACTAGGAGTGACGTCTGTTTGCTGGGTATAACCCATCAGTATTGCCATTTTGCTTACCGGGTCAGTAGCTGATGGTGAATTTGTAAGGTTGCAGGGCTAAGCTCCACTGCAGCAACCTGCCATTGTCTCCTGCGACCCGGTTAAGCCAGACCAATGGGTTGTGGTCGGTGACTAGTGAAAATTCCTGTCCGTACAAATAGGGGATTAACTTTTTAAGTGCCCAAACCAGGGCCAAATATATATATTTGTAGTCAGGGCAATATGGCCGAACACAGAAATCTTAGCATATTATAAACATAACATCCATGAGTTAGCACCAGTCGGTTGTGGTGTGCCGGAACCGCCAAAGCAGTAGGCCTGTAATAAAAGTGGGCAAAAGAAAATTACCAGGAAACGTAATTCGTGAACCAACTTCGTTTATTGAGATAAGTCACAGAAAGCTTGTCTTAATTCTTTAAGGGGGTTAGGTATGTAGAGTGTGTAGGCGGAGGATTTCCAGAATCCCATAGCCTTAATAATGGGAGCTGGTATATGATTAATGGATGCTGAAGATGCTGCCCCTATACGGAAAGAGTGACCTGAAAAATGATTTGGGTTTAGGCCGAGCCTGGTCAACAGTAGTCGTATGTAAAGCATGAATTTAGCTGTGGTCAGAGTGTGTCCATGCAGTTCGAACAAAGGCTGTTGATGTTGTTTTTGGACTGAAAGGGAATAAGTATCCAAAATGTGTACTGGGCACCATTTATTGTGAGTAGGGTACAGAGGAATTTGAATAGTACGTCCTTCGGTGCTGGTTTTTGATTGTCTTAAGGATAGAATGTAATGGTCAGTATGTTTTTGTAAATCATTAGTCCTTAGGTAGTCGTGGGCTGTAATGGTTATAGTTGTAAATTCACTGGGACATAGGAACCCATAAAAAGCGAGATATAGGGCTGTCTTTATTATGTTATTGGTCATGGGTTCAAAAGGAGAAGAATCTAACAAGTTGGATAGAGAGTGGAATATGTTGTTGTCTATGGGTAGTCTTTGTGATGGAACATGTGTGTCTAACTTTTTAATGCCTTTAAGTACTGTTTTTATTTGATATGATGTCAAGAAGCCAGTAGTGTTAGGTTGTCGGATAAGCATATGGTGCTGGATGCCGGTAAGGTACAGATTAATAGTATTAAAGGATAGTTTAAGGTTGATGTGGCAAAAAAGAAGTAAAACCTAATATCGTTTCTAAAGCAAACATGTCGTGGATGTAAAATTCGGTGATAAATTTCGTGAATACGTGAAAAGCCCTATCATAAGTGTTCCTCGTGTTTACTGAGAGTGCCAGATGAGAAATGTGACGTGCGCAATCTAACAAAGTCTTTAATCCATTATCATATCTTTGAATAGTGGTGCAGGTGTCGCTCGTCTGGAAGCGGTGAGTAGTGTCGAGAAGAAAGCCTGGAAACGAAACCGAGACAAGTGATCAGCAGAGGTGTTTGTGTACCCCGGAATGTGTATACATGTTATAAAGAATTGACAGGTGGCTGCTACCCATGTGAGTCGCCTTAGTAGTCTCATAATGACCAGTGATGACGATCGGCCTTTATTGACAATATGGCCATATTATCTGAGTAGCACCTGACTGTGTGACTGGACCCACATGGTCCCCATGCAATGGCTGCCGCCACAATAAGGTACAACTCGAATAAAGCCGAGGTATCAGAGAAGTTGGGCAGTGATTCGACTTCGGTCGGCCAAGGTCCCCAAAGCCACTGATCACCCCAGATGGCCGCAAAGCCTGTGTTTGCTGCGGCATCTGTCCACAGTGTAGGTGAAGTGTCGGAGGGGGCTGGTATAAACATGGTTCGCCCATTCCAAGAGGTGAGAAAAAAAACCCACATGCGTAAATCCGAGGTTGCGTGTTCATCTAATGTGATGCGTGAAGTGTCTGAGGTGAATAGTGGAAATAAAGATAGCAGGTGGGATATAAAGGATCTACCTTGTGGTATGATCCTCATGGCGAAATTGAGCGACCCTGGCGGTGATTGTAGTTATTTCCGGTTGCAACAACCTTGTAGCAGGTAATGTTCAATACTTGCCAGGGTACACTCAATCTTGTCCTGAGGGAGACTAACCTGCATGTGTATCATGTCTAGTTGGATCCCCAAAAATTGCATGTTGTATCTAGACCCAAAGTTTTGTGAGGGGAGACAGGAATAGTGAGGGATTCAAACAAAGCCAACATGTGTTTCAAACTACTGGGTGGGAGTGTGTTATTCTCAATCGTGAGGAAATCGTCCAGATAGTGAATAACCAAAGGGCACTTGCACACATTTAGTAACAACCAACATAAAGCTTCTGCAAATGTGTCAAAAATACATTGGCTGCTTATGGAGCCAAAAGTGAGACGGGTGAAGAAATAATACATCCCCTGCCATTTAATTCCATGTAGATGCCATAGGGAAGGGTGCATGGGTAGTAATTTAAAAGCGTTTACCACGTCGGTTTTACTTAGCCATGCCCCTGTGCCGGCTTGAAGAATGGCCCCTATGGCATGGTCGATAGTGGCGTAGTGTAGTGAAAATTCTTCGGAAGGTATTAGTGAGTTAAGGCTGGGGACAGTGGAGGAATGTGGTGCAGATAAATCAATTATCAGTCTGGGTTTGAGTGTAGTCTTCCCTGTGACCACCCCTATGGGATTGGTTCTCCAAGATGTGAAGGGTGGGGAAAAGAATGGCCCCAACAGAAACCCTTGTTTCACCTCGGTCGTGATAAGAGTGTTTACCAACTGTGGATCGTCTAACGTGGATTGTAGGTTGTCGCATCCCAGTGTTCCAGAGGGTAAATGGACCAACCCAGTGTGAAATCCCTCAGTCATTCCTGTGATAGTATAGTCAATGAAATGGAGTGATGGGTGTAGCTGTAATAGCGAGGTCAATAATGTGATGTTCACACACGTGTGATACGGTTTGGGGAACGCTTTATTCGGGCACATAGTCTTAGCATGGGCCCTGAAACAGTGGGAACATACATGCATCAGCTTGCAAGAGCTGAAACCACAATTCCCCGCATTAAAGTTGTTGCAAACCTGGGATTTACCTAGAAATACAATATCCCTACCCAGTTTGTCTTTTAATCCCCTAGCAGATTTTGGAAAGTTAGAGGTAGTTTGATTTTGTTCAATTTCTGCTGTGTTTGGGCAGAAATTTGTGTGGTGTGCTGTAGATGCACAAACTGCACAAGCTGGAGGCCTGCAGAATAACTCAGCGTCCAACTTGCTCCAATTAATGCTTAAATTGAGTCAGAGCCGCAGCCACTTTTGCAGAAAAGGAACAGTGGTAATCGTAAAAAGCGGTACCACCATATTTGTGCCCCAGGTCCACCATCTTGTGCATGTATGCATCCAGCTCTGCTCTTTTCCCCGGGTATACTGAGCAGTAAACATCCCTATAGATCCCAAAACCTAGTACGAATTCAGGGATGGTCAATTTTTTGTTCAGCCTCGGGTCTCTTGCCCTTAGCACTACTGATATATCCCCATATGCAAAGATCCTATTCTCTAGGACATCCTGGAAGGCTATAAGCAATGAAACCAGGTTTACATCCTTGCCTTCCAGAATGTCCTTTTTAAGGTGACATGGGACCGTGTGTGAAGGATTAATAGATTCAATAAGTGACATAGATTCCAATGAATTACCAGGCATAATATCAGCAAGAGGGTGACTGGCAACAATTGGATTTGGAGCGGTCTGTTTGGCACCACTTGCTTCCAATTTATCCAGCCTATCGCTAATTGTGCTGATGGATGACATAAGAGAAGTCATCATAGCGTGAAAAGCTGGCAGCTGGTTCCCACTAGGGCCTTCCCCTGCATCGGAGTTGTCAGTGGTAGTGTTTAAAAGTCTAAACAACTCCGCCTTCCTAGCAATAGCTGGGAAAGGGATGCAGCGTCTTCTAAGTTCTGCAGTGAGATGTGGGATGGTCCATGATCTGAGGGACGAAGGACTATTAACATCTGTTCCAGGAACAGGGGTACCAGGCCTAGCGGGTGTGC